TTTTATTAGGGAGCAGAGAAATGGTTACTAAAGGAGAGAATCCAAACTATTTTTTTCTAACTAGCTGTTTAAATGATTGCCTAGGATGAGACTGGACTACTGCCTCAGGAACCCAGTCAAACCCAAATTTTCTCTAGCTTTGGCATCTTTGTCAGCCAAGCATTTTTGCTGGGCCGTGCTTTCCAAACGTGGCTGTGCATAAGAATCACATAGGGAACTTGTTGAAAGCAAATTCTCCACCACACTCCCTCAGAAAGCTGATTCCATGTGGGGCCCTGAGAATCTGCATTACACAGCCTCTTCAGGTTGATTGGGAGGGCCAGTCGGCCATTGGGCCTTTGAGGTTTCCAGCAGATTGTGACCAAGTTAGAGGAAGGAGTGGCTTAAGTGGGAGTGAAGTAAAATGTTGGACACATCTCATGGTCTTAGGAGACTGAGGGGGAGAGCAAGGCAGGCCTCCCTCACAGTTCAGTGTCCAAAACCAAGCTCTTGATCTCTTTCCCCAAGGCCCGCTCAGCTGACTCCATCCATTCCATTACTTAGACCAGAACCTTGGGGTCACCCTTGACTCCTCCTTTTTTCACAGCCCACATTTAGTCTACCAGTAAACATGCCCACTTCTACCATTCCCTCCATTTTCAGCAGCTGGGCTGAATCAGCATCATCTGTTGCCTGGTGTATTTCAGGAGCTGTTTAGCTGATCTGCTCCTAACCCAGCAGCCAGGGTAGACCTTTGAAATGGAAGTCAGGTCATGCCTCTCCTCTGCTTAAAACCCTTTGTCCTTTCTTCCTGGTTCCCAGTACAGGGTGTGGGGTGCAGACCCCGTCTTCCAGCTGCTTCCTGCTTGGAAGGGGTGGAAGGGCTAGTTCCTCTCTTTCCCTTTGCTGCAGGAGGAGAAATCTGGGTCGACTCTGCTGGTTCCTTTGCTCATTTGCTAATTCTGGACTTTCGAGCAACGAGATAATACGTCCAGGCTAGGAAACACTGACTCCTGGGGCTAGAGAGTACAGTAGGATATTTGGTTGTTTGTGGTTAAGAAGCTTCCAATCGTCAAATCAGCCTGAAATGGATGGTGGGCAGTTGCAACTTACACAGAAATCTCCAGATTTCAAGCCAGTATTTGAATGGATCTAGAGATGAGAGAGCTCACCCTGGATTTGAAGGAGGTTAGGCTTATTAAATTACAGAATCTTTCATTCACAACCAAAACAGTTACTAGTATGTTAAGTGGTCGTGTTTGGCAAGAAAGAACTCTATCCCAAGCTCTTGGGTCATTGGAGAACAAAGTCTTTGCCTTCTTTTATCTTGGCTCCTCCATTTGCCTTCACGAAGGCACAATTTGGAATAAAAAAGCACCAGTAGTTCGTTGGACAACACTGAGTTGGCGGTAGAAACTATGCCAGAGATTGCATGGTAGAATTTTTTAAGACCAACAATCTGTTCATTAGAAATACCTTCTTGTAACAACATAAATAACGGCTATATGCATGGACCTTGCTAGCTGGAATACACAGGATTCAAATTGCGTACATCAGTGAAAGAGATAATGGAGAGAAGCTCAGTATCATCAACAGAGGAAAGTTAGGGGAACTACAGAAACAAGCATCAGTTGTTTCTACACAAGTTTAAGTTGAAGCTGAAGAAAATTCAAACTATCCATGAGAGCCAAAGAATAACTTAGATGTATTGAACACTAATGACTAAAGACCAGACACATTATCGGAAGACATCAAAAACATCTCACACGAAGAAAGCAAAATTTCATTAAAAAGACAAGAAAGAAAGAAAAAAAGACAAGAAAGACTGAAAGACCAAAATGGAGATCAGAAAAGACTGAAACTTGTTGAATGTAAACTATGTAAACAAAATGGAAGAAATAATAAAAACTTAACAGAAAATTTCAAAGGGCAGCTCACGAATACAAAGAAAAGTATAAGAGGACTTCATAAACTGGTGGACAAATGCATTATCTTTTCATTCAATTTTTCCACCAACTTTTTGTCACCAATAATACACCAACCTTGTATTATTATGAAATGTATAAAGACCTGGTGTTTTTTGGGGTGGGTGGGGGGCGGGAGGGAGATAAGCCTGGTATTGCTGAAGCTGAAAGAACGGAAGAAAAAAATTTAAGCTACAAATTGCAATATTGAAGGGTTATATGGGCAAAATATCAAAGAACACAAACACTGAAAGTGGAAGAAATTTACAGAATCACTGCGCCAACAGGGTTGGTCAGATTTCAGCCATTTCAGGAGGTGTAGCATATGGATGCATTGATTAAAATCCAAGGCTCCAGGAATTGACAGAATACCAATTGAGATCCTTCAGCAAACATGCAATATTGAAAATGCTCATTCATCTATGCTAAGAAATTTAGGAGAAAACTACCTGACAAAGAAGATGATCCAACAGAATGTGGAAATTATCAATGTCATTAATATCAAAGCTTCAAACCTGGAAATGAACCCACCCTTGAGAGATCAGTTGCCTTTCAGCCAAACCAAAGACAGGCCTGTAATGTGAATGAACGTTAACACCTGTGAGAACATGCTCCGCAGAGAATTGACTGTGCGTGACCAAAGGGGCAGCCTTTGCCTAACAGCAAAGCTCACAAGATAGGAAGGGTCAGAAAACAGGACAAACAGAAATGAGGGACCCAGAGAGGAAGTGGGAAAATTACTGTTGGCATTGAAAAGTAATTAATGTCATGAAGTAGAATGTGTTTAAGTCATTAAGTGGAAACTAGTTTTCTCTGTAAACTGTAAACCACAGTATTTTTTTAATTATTCAAGAAAGTTCAAAATGACATCGAGAGCGCTGCCAGAAATTCAGCCTGGACTAAAAGAGAATGTGGAACATGGTTGTAGCGTTGCGGTGCCCACCGGATCTTGGCTAAGCTCAGAGACCATCAGAAAGAGAGTATCAGGTGCTTTCCTGTATTTTCTTGACTGTGCAAAAGCATGTGTGTGTTTAACATTTTGAAGAAAGAGAATTCCACACAGTTCATTGTGTTTATGTAGAACCAGTACACAGATCAAGAACTAGTCTGAGACACAACAGGGAACATGCATGATTTTAAAACAGGAAAGGGGTGCGTCAGGGTTGTATCCTTTTAGCATATTCACTCAAATCACCTGATAGGATGGGCACTGTAAAGCTTCAGGACTGGAGTGAAGACTCACAAACTGTGGTAGGCATGTGCCAGCTTTGCTTGCTGGAAGGGAAGAGGAAGGACTTGAAGTACTGCAGCCTTCACTGTCGATTACACGTCACCATAAAGCAGAATCCCCCCAATTGACCCAATAAGCAACATCACCACAAACAGAAAAGATCCAACTTTTGTCTAGGATTTCAGTTTTCTTAAATCACAATCAGTTCCCATGGAAACAGTATTCAAAAAGTCAAATGACAAATTGGACAAATTTGTTGCCAAAGATCTAATTAAAGTGTTAGAAAGCAAAAATGTCCTTTTGAAGACCCCAACCCAAGCCATGATATTTTCAGTTGCCTCGTGTGTTCAAAAGCTGGACCTCAAGGAAGGAAGACCGAACAACTGATGCCTTTGAATTATGGTGTTGGCAAAGAATATTAAATATACCTTGGACTGCCAGAAAACAAATGCATTGTTTTACAAGAAGTAGAAGCAGAATGCTCCTTAGGAGGGTGGGTCATGAGACTTTATCTCCGTACTTTGCATCAAGAGGGACCTGGAGAAGGACATTGTACTTGGTAAAGTATAAGATCGGCAAGGAGAAGAAGAAAAAAACCTTCATCAAGACGGAGTGATCAAAGGAATCAATTCCAGTACCAGGCATATAGTGGATGCTTAATAAATGTTAGTTGGAAATAGATCCACTGCCTTGAGAGTACCAATGATTAGTTAAAAAAAGCAGTATAATAGATTGAAAATAAAAGTTGCTACTCGTGTAAAAAAAAAAGACGGAGTGATCAGGGGGCGCTCACACTTGGCAAAGGTTGTGAAACTGGCCCAGGGGCGGTGCCGGTTCCGCTGTACACAGTATTATTAAGAGCTCCTAACAATAGCAACATGGCAGAGGGGCCTGGTCAAGTCATTCCCACCACAGTGCAGACAGCTCTCTCAGGAGATGCTGTTACCACGTGCTGAGGCGGTGGCTTCCTTTCAAAGTAGCCTGATCCTGCTCCGTCCTCACAATTGTTGGTGTTTCTGAGCCCCTTGTTTCTGCACGTGGTAGCCTGGCCTTTCTACAACACTGATTTAACTGGGAGGGGGGTGGGAGAGCACGATTTGATCTAATCTGTCTCACTGCTTTAGCAGATGCCTTAATTTTTTAGGTACTTTATCTCAATGCTTATTTTAATAGATCAGTCTGTATTCCACCAAGGTGCCCCTTTTGCCATTTGGGAATACAGTGTAATGGGAACCAAAGTACTAAGCCGTTGGTAGTCGGGCTTCCAAGCTTTCTCACGCCCTCAGTTGTGCTGGGTGTCCATCCCGTGGTGTATTTTCATTAAGATGGCTCACCTTCTTTCTGCTGGATCCTGCAAAGAACTCCTTTAGCCTACAAGGTTAACCTAGTGACAAGTGACATTTCATTTTTGTGCTAGCAGCGCCATCCTAGTCTTTCTCTGTCGAACCCCAGTCTGGGCATTGGATGGGGGCGGGGCGCACTCTAGGGCATTTTCCTGACCTGCTTGTTCTGAGCGCGCGCATACACACACACACACACACACACACACACACCTCATCTTTCTGGGTTTGTTTCTGGGTGGTCTGAGGAGCCAGCTCTTTCCTTCCCCAGTGTGACTTGCTGCATGCCGTGACAGACCACATTCTGTGGACTTAGACACCCACACTGGACCGTAAGCTCCTTGAGGACAGGGACCCTCTCCTCTTTTTGTTGACGGTTTGTGATGAGCCGCCGTGAGCAGACTGTTCTGTATACCCACCCTGCTACTCCTGGAAGAAGTCTCTGCAGGAGAGATTTGAGCTCACAGCCAGCCTTCCTTCTTGCAGGGGGAACTGATCACCTTCTACTACTACTGGAAGAAGACCCCGGAAGCAGCCAGCTCCCGGGCCCATCGTCGGCACCGCCGGCAGGCTGTGTTCAGGAGAATTAAGACTCGGACAGCGTCCACACCCGTCAACACGCCCTCCAGGCCCCCCTCAAGTGAATTCTGTAAGTAGGGGCAAGGCAGTGACCCTGCAGGTGGTGAGAGACTCACTGTCCACAGCCGCACTGCCAGGGGCCCACCTTGTGTGCAGTGTGACCTTGGCAGTAGAGTTGGGTTTGGAGTGGATGGTCCAGGGAACCAGTATGTCTGTGCCTGAAGCATAACACAGGACTGGTAGGGACAGTTTTGTGGAAGTAGCAGCATTTCAGCTTTTCTGATAAATTGCAATAGCATTTTAATTTTTTTATAGAAGTATACATCTTCACTCTGGCTTAAGGTACTTCTGATACATAAAGAAGGTTTTTCCCCCACCCTTAGGAGGTAGTATATGTGTTGTTCTTATTTTACATTTATTTTGGTAGTAATAAGGTTAGATTAATATTTTTGTCTTTCCTCGGAGAAGAAGTGGTGTTTTCTGTGATCCTCTTATTGGTCCGACGTTCAATCCAGGATGACAGTGAAGCCCACCCGTACTCCCCAATCCCCCCTAGAAAACTAGACCACAGGGACAGTGCCTGCAGGGTTGCTGGCGCCCCACATCTAAACAGCAAGAGATAATGGCCCTGAGGGTAGGCTCTGTGGCGAGGCAGAAAGGTATCATGAGGGCCCTTTGGCAGTTCAGGTTCAGCCAGCTGTGGGCATCCATGCCACTGCCGTAAGATGCAACAGAGAGGGTCCATAGTCGCCTTCCAAGTCTGCCAGGGTAGGCCCTTGAGTTCCATCCTCACACCCCACACATTCTCCATTCTGCTGACTGACCCGTGGGTCAGAGTGGGCCGCCCTGGGTCTGGCCTGTCTCAGCCTGTGGAGCCACTCTCAGGATAGCCCCAGATCTGGACCAAGCCTGACGCACCCCTCCCTACCTGTTCCTTTGCCCAGTGGACCTGAGCTCAGCCAGCGAGGATGACTTCGACAGTGAGGACAGTGAGCAGGAGCTGAAGGGGTACGCCTGCCGCCACTGCTTCACCACCAGTGAGTGTCCCCCCCAACCCCGGGAGGGAGGGAGGGAGGAAGGGCCCCCCCACTGTTGCAGGCTGCCTGCCTGGACTGTACATTCAGGCAGTTGAGTTGAGAAAGGTGAAAAGCTATAGCAGTCAGCAGCAGGGACTGAGCAGAGGGTCGATTGGCAGGAAATCTGCTGCCAGTCTCTCCTGGGTATCCAGTGATGGGGTGGGCAGGGGTAGGCATCGGGCGCTCCCCAAACCTCTCCAGTTGGGAGGGGCGCGCTGTGCAGCACCTGTGTCACTTGTGTGCCAGTTGTCTCTCTCAGTTCAGTGCTACCCAGTGCTTGTGGCAGTGTCCTTGGGCTGAGCTTCTCACCAGAGGGCCCTGCTCAGGCAATCCCAAGGACACTGGTGGCTTCTAAGGTTGGCATCTGACACCCCCTCTTGCTTCCCTCACACAGCTTCCAAAGACTGGCACCACGGGGGCCGGGAGAACATCCTGCTCTGCACTGACTGTCGCATCCACTTCAAGAAATACGGGGAGCTGCCCCCCATAGAGAAGCCAGTGGACCCCCCACCATTTATGTTCAAACCAGTCAAAGAGGAAGACGATGGGCTCAGTGGAAAGCATAGCATGAGGACGAGGCGGAGTCGGGGCTCGGTGAGTACCCCCCTCGGCACGCCCTCACCTACCCCAAATGGCTCCAGGGAGGAGTGGGAATGTTTGGTTTTAGATTGAGAATTGGGCCCCTTGAAGTGACAGTACTCGCCCAAAGTATTGCCAAGGGTGGAACCAGGAAGCGTGCTCATCCCCACCCTCCCTGGGCCACTGTGAAGGCTGGACGTGGAGGTGCAGACCTGGGTTGGGGTTCAGAGATCCTGGTGGCTAGGGGACTCTGCCTGAGCCCAGCGCCAGCCACCTCCAGTATACCTTTAAACTTCGGGCACTCCTGGCACACACCTTCCATAACGAGACTGTGACAGACCTTGGGTGGGTTCTTCTTCGGGTAGCGTTCTCCCCAGGTGTGCTAGTCGGTGGGTGGAATGTTCTCCTTCCCGGACCATGCTGTCCCATCATGGCTCCTGCTGTCCAGTAAGGGGCTGGTGGGCACTCAACATTGTACCACAGGGGCCGTAGGCCGATCCAGGGGAGCCACAGGAAGGGGGAGGTGACGCAGGGATGGCTGTGTGCACGTCAGTCTGAGAGCTGTGGGGCAGCCTCCTGCTCTTCAGGAAAGTCTCCTGAGGTGAACGCTGTGGAGCTGAGAACTGTCTGTGCTGTGTGAACCCCTCATCCACTTGAGCAGGGCCTGCATTAGCTACTGGGGGCAGGGGTGCCTGCAGGAGAGCAGGAGTCGCTCTCACCAGACATCTGTTTGGGGGATAGATGTCTACACTACGCAGTGGTCGGAAGAAGCAGCCAGCCAGCCCTGATGGTCGAGCCTCGCCCATCAACGAAGACATCCGCTCCAGCGGCCGGAACTCTCCCAGCGCCGCCAGCACTTCCAGCAATGACAGTAAATCAGAGACAGGGAAGAAGTCGGCCAAGGTGAGGTGCTGGAGGGAGCAGCTGGGGCTGCTCAGTCTCCTTAAGACCTGGGTGGCTGGCATTGGGGTTCAGCTTCTTCAGACTTGGGCCCCAGTCCTTTAGTGGACCCTAACTGGGCTACTGATTGGAGGCCTGGGGCCCAGAGAAGGTGTCCAGTGAGCTCCTTGCATGACCTTTGGTCCTTCCCCATCAGAAAGGCTCCCTGCCCCTACTGGCCTCTTCCCAGGCACCCTTGCTTCCGGAGATGAGCTCAGCAGGAGGGAGCTCTCCCATCTCCTCACGTGCCCTGTGGGCTTCCCCATTGCAGAAGGTTAAGGAGGAAGCCTCATCGCCTCTTAAGAGCACCAAGCGCCAGCGGGAGAAGGTGGCCTCAGACACAGAGGAGGCAGATAGGACCAACTCCAAGAAAACCAAGACCCAGGTGTGTTTGGCAGCTGCCCCCTGTAGAGTACAGCCAGCAACTCTTGCCTGTGGAGAAGCCCCAGCCTGGGTCCTCACTGGGAATGGAGCACCCAGCACTCCCAGGACAGGAGGCCCAGGCACTGCACAGGCTTTACTGTGTGCCCAGCACCCGCAGTGCTGGCCAGAGCACCCTGCTCTCCTGCAGCTCCCCTCCCTCCTCTCTCTGCCCTAGGAGATTAGCCGACCCAACTCACCATCCGAGGGCGAGGGAGAGAGCTCAGACAGCCGCAGCGTCAATGATGAGGGCAGCAGTGACCCCAAAGACATCGACCAGGACAATCGCAGCACATCCCCCAGCATCCCCAGCCCCCAGGACAACGAGAGTGACTCAGACTCCTCAGCCCAGCAGCAGATGCTGCAGGCCCAGCCCCCGGCCCTGCAGGTTCCCAATGGGGCAGCCGCCGCGCCTTCTGCAGCCACGCCAGGAGCCACCCAGCTCTCTGCTCCAGGGCCCCTGTCCTCTGCCCCCGCAGGTGCTCCCCAGGGCTCCCCCTCAGCCTCCCAGCCCCCAAGCCAGCCACAGGCCCCCACGGCCCCTGCTCCCCACACCCTCATCCAGCAGGCACCCGCCCTACACCCACAACGGCCACCCTCACCACACCCCCCACTACAGCCTCTAACAGGGCCAGCTAGCCAGGCCCCAGCCCAGCCTCGTCCCCAGCCCACTCTGCACAGCCAGGGCCCACCTGGCTCTCACAGCCTGCAGACCGGACCCCTACTGCAGCATCCAGGCCCCCCTCAGCCCTTCGGCCTCCCTCCCCAGACCACCCAAGGCCAGGCCCCACTAGGGACCTCTCAGGCAGCAGCTCACCCCCATAGCACCCTGCAGCTCCCCGCCTCTCAGGCAGCACTGCAATCCCAGCAGCCCCCACGTGAGCAGCCTCTGCCACCAGCCCCCCTGGCCATGCCTCACATCAAGCCCCCACCCACCACGCCCATCCCCCAACTGCCTGCCCCACAGGCTCACAAGCACCCACCTCACCTCTCAGGGCCCTCCCCATTCTCCATGAATGCCAACCTTCCACCCCCACCAGCCCTGAAGCCCCTGAGCTCCCTATCCACACACCATCCACCCTCAGCCCACCCACCACCCCTGCAGCTCATGCCGCAGAGCCAGCCTCTGCCCTCCTCCCCTGCCCAGCCTCCTGTGCTGACCCAGAGCCAGAACCTGCCCCCTACTGCTGCCCCCCACCCCCCAGCAGGGCTTCACCAGGTGCCCCCACAGCCACCCTTCACTCAGCACCCCTTTGTCCCAGGAGGCCCTCCCCCTATCACCCCTCCAGCCTGTCCCTCCACCTCCACTCCACCTGCGGGACCTGGAGCCTCAGCCCAGCCACCGTGCTCCGCCGCTGTTTCTTCAGGGGGCAGCATCCCTGGGGGTGCGTCTTGCCCTCTCCCCACTGTCCAGATCAAAGAAGAGGCTCTGGATGAGGCCGAGGAGCCTGAGAGCCCCCCGCCCCCACCGAGGAGCCCGTCCCCAGAGCCCACTGTGGTGGATACCCCTAGTCATGCCAGCCAGTCAGCCAGGTAAGGCTCCTAGGACCCAACCTGGGCCAGTGGGCAGGCGAACAAGCAGGGCTGCAGGGCACAGCCAGTGAGGCATGGGCAGGGTCCCCAGTGAAAGGTGTGGTCTTTCTCAGGTTCTATAAACACCTGGACCGGGGCTATAACTCATGTGCACGGACAGACCTGTACTTCATGCCACTGGCGGGGTCCAAGCTGGCCAAGAAGCGGGAGGAGGCCATCGAGAAGGCCAAGCGGGAGGCTGAGCAGAAAGCCCGGGAGGAGCGTGAGCGTGAGAAGGAGAAGGAGAAGGAGCGGGAGCGTGAACGCGAGCGTGAGCGAGAAGCCGAGCGCGCAGCTGTGAGTCCTGGTGTTGGGAACTCCACTTCCTGTGTGAGGAGAAGCGGGCTGGCCAGGCCCGTGGGGGGGGAGGCCATCAGGCGCCACTTGGTTTGTCTCCGTAGCAGCCGGAGGGTCTGCTGTTTCAAGTCCTGATCCCTGGGCTTCTCCCTTGATGGAGAGCCAAGCCTGCAGGGCTAGGACCAGGCCTCCCTCACACCCCCAGCAGTGCTGCATGGTGCTGCTGTCCCAGGCTGGGTTACCAGGTGCCAGCGGGGTGGCTGGGACCCTGGGGAGTCGCCAAGCATGTTGTCCAGTCAGTGCTCACTCTCCTCACTCGATCCCCCATCTTTCCCCGCCCCACCTCTTGCTCTTACTGGGACCTTGCGTGCTCCCTAGGGCAGGGGAAGGGGCTGGCCCGGCAGGGACCCTGGGGCTCAGGCTGGGAGCCAGGGTGGGACCATCTCCTGGACTTGGAGCCTTGGCCACCTGGCACGCAGCCCTCATTTCCTCCTCTTCCTCGGCAGAAAGCGTCCAGCTCAGCACATGAAGGCCGCCTCAGCGACCCCCAGCTCAGTGGTCCCGGCCACATGCGGCCATCCTTTGAGCCCCCGCCCACCACCATTGCTGCTGTGCCCCCTTACATCGGGCCTGACACACCTGCCCTCCGGACTCTGAGCGAGTACGCGCGACCACACGTCATGTCGCCCACCAACCGCAACCACCCCTTCTACATGCCCCTCAACCCCACTGACCCCTTGCTGGCCTACCACATGCCCGGCCTCTACAACGTGGACCCCACCATCCGTGAACGGGAGCTCCGGGAGCGGGAGCTCCGGGAGCGGGAGATCCGAGAGCGGGAGCTGCGGGAGAGGATGAAGCCGGGCTTTGAGGTGAAGCCCCCGGAGCTGGACCCCCTGCACCCAGCCACCAACCCCATGGAGCACTTCGCCCGGCACAGCGCCCTCACCATTCCCCCCACAGCCGGCCCCCACCCTTTTGCTTCGTTCCACCCGGGCCTGAACCCCTTGGAGAGGGAGAGACTGGCCCTGGCCGGCCCCCAGCTGCGGCCTGAAATGAGCTACCCTGATAGACTGGCAGCCGAGCGCATCCACGCTGAGCGCATGGCCTCACTGACCAGCGACCCCCTGGCCCGGCTGCAGATGTTCAACGTGACGCCGCACCACCACCAGCACTCCCACATTCACTCCCACCTCCACCTCCACCAGCAGGACCCCCTCCATCAAGGTGGGTGGCCTGTGAAGGGCAGATGTATCCACCACTAGTCCCATTTCTGCTCACTCACAGCCTTTGTCTCTCTGCCCTCAGAGAGCTGCCTCTTGGGGCCTCCGGCTGCAGGCCCCCAGCTAAGCCCTGAGTGAGATTTGAGTGGGATGTAGGGGGGCAGGGGTGTGTGTGTGTGTGCGTGTGAGAGAGAGAAAGAGAGCGAGCAAGCGAGCGAGCTGCAGCACAGCTGTGGAATACCCAAGGATTCCTGGGCGGGTACAGCCAGCCACGCGCCCAGTGGTACGGAGAAGTCTTCCCAGGGCTGTGTCTAGAGGGAAGAGTGCTGGAGGGAGAGACACAGGGAATCCCACACGCAGACAGCCTTCTTGGAGCCTAGACTGAAGGGCGCAGGGGCGACAAGTCTATGGTTTTGGGGGAAGAGCTCTTGGTAGAGTGTGGCAAGCAGGCCAGAGAACAGTACTGGGCTGAGGGGAGAGGACACTGCCAGGAGAACCACGTGCTGTGCTGCCCCTTGTGTACCACATAGTGGTTTGGCCGGCGTGGGGGTGGGGGGTGAAGTTGCCATGGGGAAGAGGGACCAGTGGCCAGTTGTGGGCTACAACTGGGTGCAATCAGGCAGCAGTGTGCCCCAAAGGAGTGGAAGGAATGTGAGCTTACATGGTCCTGATGAACCGGTGGCCACTACATCTGGGACCTTGTCCTTCCATAGGTTCTGCAGGCCCTGTTCACCCGTTGGTTGATCCCCTGACCGCCGGCCCGCACCTGGCCCGCTTCCCCTATCCTCCGGGAACCCTCCCCAACCCTCTGCTTGGACAGCCACCCCATGAGCACGAGATGCTGCGTCACCCAGTGTTTGGTAAGAGTTCATCCGCTGCGCAGGCAGGGGCAAGGTACTCCTAGACCCAGTCACTCACGTTCTCACACACGGTCCTGAGTGCACAGGCAGGCCGACTCTCAGAGAGCTGTGCTGTGGCAGTGATCGAGCCTCCCGTGGGGAAGTGGGCATGCGCACTGGGAGGACCACAGAGACGCCTGGTTTCCATGAGGGTGGTGTGCAGGGAGCCTGGCAAGGGCAGGCCGGACTGTCTGTCTACTGCCCTTGGTGGACTGACTCTTTCCGGACCTCACCAAGTCATCGTGCCCTCCCGCCCTTGCCATTGCTGTAACAGAGTCTGTTGTGTGTTTTGGCAGGTACCCCCTACCCCCGAGACCTGCCCGGGGCCATCCCACCCCCGATGTCTGCGGCTCACCAGCTGCAGGCCATGCACGCGCAGTCCGCTGAGCTGCAGAGGTTGGCCATGGAGCAGCAGTGGTTGCACGGCCACCCCCACATGCACGGCGGCCACCTACCAAGTCAGGAAGACTACTATAGGTGAGGGTGGGGCAGCCAGGGAAGGCAGCCTTCTGCTTGTGCTATAGGCCACAGCACATGGGGCGGGGGAGTGGGTGCACGTGAGGGCGGGGAGCGACAGTCAGCTGTGCAGGCCGTGGTTTGGGACTGCTTGGGACCTTAGAGCCACCTGACACCTGCCCAGACCTGATGCTTAACCAGCCTTTCCTCTCCTTCCTTTCCAGTCGGCTGAAGAAAGAAGGTGACAAGCAGTTATAACTTATTTATTTGTTAACGCTGGCTGTGGAAACAAACCCCAATTCTTGGCGGGGAGAAACAGGACTTTTTACATACAATAGGAGCTGCAAAAGCTAAAGGAATATCTTCTAAAGAGTTCTTTATATATTTAAAAAGCCCCACAACTAAACTGTATCCGCTTCCTAGTGTTTGTTTGTAGAGAGGGTTCCTTGAGACTGGCTGGGGTCTCCATGCATGACAGTCCCCAGAAACTTGGTGAGTCCTGGACGGGACTGACCAGAACCTTGCCCTGCGATCTGGGGCGTGGGCCTTCGTTCTCTTTCCTTCCTTAGTTGCTCAGTAGGTGCTAGAACCCACCTCACACCCTTCACTGTGCAGACACACTCGGTTACGTGGGCTCCCAAACCCACAAGGTTTGTAGACAGGCGGCAGAGGAGTTTGGAGTCCAAGAACTATAATTTTTAAGAAATCTTTTATTTTAATACATTGTAGGAAATCTTCATAATTTGAGAAAGTTCTGCAGCATGGCTTTTTAAGTGTGTAAATAAATAATTTTAGAACAGCCTCTCCCTCCACCTTCCACAAACTACTATTTTGATCTATTTTTTTTCCAGCCATGTCACTAATTGTGAATTCCTACCAGCTATTGACAGAATACAGAGTTGATTTTTTAATACAAAGTTATATATAATTATCCCTTTAATTAAAGGGAGCCAGTGGGCGTTACTAAATACAGTGGACAGGAGCTCGAGACTAGATGCGGGCACAGCAATGAGCGTCCAGGGGTTTGCAGGGACAGTGTCACAAGCTATGTCTTTGTTTGGCTGCTTTGGTTGTCACTTGTGTCTGGTCCTGCATGTGGTTTGCCGGTGGTGCAGACGGCTGAAGCTCCCTCATTTTGCTCTGGGCGTGCGTGTGCATGCCCCCCACCATCCTTTCTCTGTGGGCTCCAAAAAAGCACGTGTGTCTGCCTGTAGATTTCCTTGCAGATGTCTGTACACACGTTGGTTGTTCTGGATGAATTTGCTTTTAATACTATGAAAATTTCATAGACATTGTAGAAAATTTTAGAACAATGCATACAAGTAACTCGCCCATGAAAGACACATGGGCCCATACTTGCAAACGCATCTGCCCGCAGTCGGCCTGGGGGCAGCGCTAGGACTACTGCCGGGAGTCCTCTGGCTCTTCTGGCGGTGAGGACTGGCCCACGCATTCTTGCTGCAGGCGCAGAGAGACTGCTTTTGAGCGAGTTGAACCCGTGAGGGTGGTAGCTCACATTTCTGCCCTTGGAGCAGGTGGCCCACATCAGACTGGGAACCGATTGAGGCCCAACCCTGGATTGTGGAGTCAGGAAGCAGTCCCCACCCCACCAGCGGTTCCACTTCAGAGGGAGTGGGCCCTAGAGCAAGCGGTCCTGGCCGGGGGGCTGCCCCATGCCCAGCAGTTAGCATATGCACTTTCACCCAAGCAGTGGGCGTCATGAGGTCCGCGTCCATGTCCCGCTGCTGCCGGACACGGCCTTTCCGTTGTTCCTTCCCTCTCAGACTCTCAAGGCTAGTCCTGCCATTGTAGACTCTTTTCTGTGGTGGTCGCTGCAGGGCCTTGTCCAGAGAGAGCCCTCAGGTCAGTCAGCAGGAAGGGCCAGGGGCCAGAGGCCAGAGGCATCCACAGACTCACCTGCATCAGGGGCATTGCCAGGGTACGTGAGTGTCGGGCTGCTTCAGTTGGGACAGAGAGGGGCATGTTCTGTTTGTTGAAATGTTTGTCGTATTTTCCCCTCATTTTCTCTCATTCCATTTCTGCCTTAACGTTAGCTCCTTAAGGGAGGTAAACTCCCATTAAAGTTTGGTCATCACAGGAAGGGCCATCACACCCTATCCCACCCCCCCACCCCCATCCTGCTGATTCGGGTCAAGCGCCAGCGTCCACTGAGCCCCGCACAGCCGCCACCACCCAGCAGCAGCATCTCTCCAAAGGGGAGTGGAAGGGCTCTGCGGGCAGGCTGTGCTTAAACACGGTCTGAAGGCTCTTACTAAGCTCTGGTCTTCTCCCCCTGGTCCAAGGTGAAGCGCTGAGATTCCTCCAGTATCAAATCCAACCCTGCCCTCCCCAGAGCCACCACGGTTGTGTAGGACAGCCCCAGACCTCACAGTGTCTTTCAGCGCCACAGTTGTTTCCTTTTGGATGTTCCTTTTGTTGGAAGTTTGGGTTGGCTTTCCTGTGTTCCGTATGTATCTTGTTCCATGTCGTTGGGGTGGAGCTTGGTGTTCGCTGCGACAGTGGCGCGGAGCACACACGCGGCCCTCTGTGTTATATATATCTGAAGCTAACTGTACATAGGAGTAGTTTGCCATGAGATGACACAGTGTAAACAGTAGACACCCAGAAATCGTGACTTCTGTGTTCTCTCCATTTGAGTATTTTGTAATTTTTTTGAAATATTTGTGGACATAAATAAAACCAAGCTACACTACAGCACTTGGGTGTTGAGCAGTAACTGTGTTTCATTCCTGAAAAGTGAGTGGGAGGAACATCTCAGGGCCCCATCTCCTCTCTCTCCCCTCTCCCAGCCGCTGTCCTGCCGGGCCGGTGGTGGTGGTGGTGGGCACCCTCTTCTGCTCTTTGTTCAGCCTGGTGACCCTCTGCTACTCCCTGAGGCCTCCAGTATTGGGTTCCCAGCGTACCCTCTGAGTAGACTTGCCCACCACTGAAGGTGCCCCAGGCCTCCTGTGAGGGATGACCGTGACCTCAAGGGACAGCATTCGCCAAAAGGACTCCTCGCAGTGGTTGTTGCAACGGTCCAGGGCAGTTCCCTCCCAGAAGCATCAAGAAAGAGTGTGGAGTGGTCAGCGTCTCGGGTGTGGCCATAAGCTCCAGATGTGTGGGAGAGGAATGATGACAGCCTACACGCCACTGCTGGGGAGCTGCCCTCGGGGGCCTGTAGCACTCAGTCTAGGCATGGAAACCGAGCGTCAGGCACAGCCAAGCCTAGGCCATGAAGAACTCTGCTGAACAGAGGACCTGAAGGCATACGTGGTGAGGACCCCAGCGGCGAACCTGTGCCTTCAGCCAGGAGGAGTGCTGCCCAGCACCTTGTGTGATGGGGAGGGGGAGGGGGCAGGAAAGGCCAAGGGAAAGTACTTGGTGGGCCTTGCATCTCTTCTAGGCCATGTTCTCTGTGTAGCTGCCACTCTGAAAGGGCATGGCAAACTCTTGAGTTTCAGCCGTGAGGGTGTGAATAGGTACGCTGCAGAAAAGACCCCCAGCTAGACAGCTGGTGATGGTTGCTCAGGGGCCCGGTGGCAGGCCATTGTCCCCACCTGCCGTGGAGAGAGCAGTAAACGGTGCTGAACAGCCGGCAGCGTAATCAGTGTCTGTGCCCACCAGTGTGCAGCCTCAGCCTCAGCCTCTTCTGGCCACCCAGGTGGTCCTGTTCCTTTCCTGAACTCGAGTTCACAGCAGGACTGGCTACCATGGGACTATGCCCCAAGCCCTGGTGGCCCCCTTTAGGCTTCTGTAAACCAGCACAGGTGGGAGACTAGAGACAACCCTTATCACCCTGCAATTCCTGAGAAAAGAAACCCAGTCATACGCCACTTCCTTGCTGGGCCTCAACACTTCGGAAAACCTACCTTCCCCACAGGATCAGCTCTCACTGCCATTGAGCTGGTGCAGACTCAGCCACCCCATAGGGCAGGACAGAACTGCCCTGTAGGTTTTTGAGACTAACTCTTTATGAAAGTAGAAAGCCCCATCTTTCTCCTGCAGAGCCACTGGTGGTTTTGAACTGCCAGCCTTGTGGATCTCAGCCCAACTCATAACCACAATGCCACCAGGGCTCCTCCTAGAAGTGGTATAAGGCTTAGGATTCCTACACAGTGCGGGGCACAGGACTCAATGCCGAACTGCCCCGAAGTAGGCCTTTCCCACTGGTCTATGAAGGGGACACCAGGCCCAGAAACTAGGGGCTGCTCTGCTCCTCTTTAGGCGCTCCTGCAGGAGGCAGCAGCCTCTGTAGTGGGCTGTCCAGTGTTGTCCCCCAACCAGCCCCTCTGGGTGCCTGAGGCTCCTGGTGGGACCAGGGAGCAGGCGCTCCCAGTTCCACCCTGGGTAGGGTCATGATCCCTTCAGGGCCTGGTAGCCTGCTGCTGCATCTGCTCAGCCCTGCCACCTGCATGACCCAGGGACTCTCATGCCCTTGTGATGTGCTCTCCTGGAGGGTGCTGTCTGTCCTCTGAGGCCCTGGGAGGAACTTGAAGCTGTTGAGCCATTTAGGGATCTGTTTTCCATGAGCAGAGTCACCACTTGCCATTCATTCCCAGTCCTGTCTACTCTCCTGAGTCATTGGAAGGGGCAGCAAATCGGATATAAAACAGCTTCCTAGTCCCGGCCACCAGATGGCAGTGGTTACAAAAGTAAACCAGGCCTAATCAAGGGTCCTCAGATGGCTGGGGGGGGGGGGGGGGGGGGGGGGGTTTGTACCTCTTAAATTTGTGAAAGGCCTAGTCAGAGGATTTGTGTGTAGAGAACAAAGGTCACAGCAGGGGTGGGGTGGGAAGTGGAGGTTGTGGGTGCCTGGTAATCCGAGGGGTAGGCGTACCGGAGAGCTGGGGTTGGGTGGTAGGCAGGACCCTGGCGCAGGAGTTCCTGTGGTTGGGGGATCTTTCTGCTCTGCGGGTGCCCAGGGCATACACAGTAGGTGCTCAGTAAATGTTCATGGTAGATGACTTCCAAAAACTGTAGCCCCAAAGCCCCTCACCCCCGAGGAGCTGTGATGGATCCCGTCGCAGCCCTCCTGTGCCCTACCCCCAGCATTCACTGCTTTCCTGCTCCGTCCTCCCAGGAGGCAGGAGTCCCCGAGATCCGCGCACAGCCAGCCAAGATGGGACACGCTGCCACCGATGGTCTTTGAGGGAAACCACCGCCATTCCTAGAAAGGCCAGTGGGAGGAGTGCTGGTGGGGCTGCCCCTCACCAGTTCCCAGCGTCCCAGGGGTGGTCCTGGGTTAGGCCAGGAGCCTCAAAGACAGACCACCTGATGAGGCTGTGATCTCATGACAGGTCCCTGCTGTCCCACCTCCAGTGTTGCTCCTGCCTCTGGGCTGCCTCAGAGGCAGGGGCCCAAGTGTTGGTGTCCGGGGGGCACCCATGAGCGATTTCCAGATCTGCCAAGGGGGAGTCAGCTCCAGCTGCAGAATTGGGCTCTGAGGTGCTGTCTAGTGGCCACTAGACCACACGCAATAGGCATTCTCTCCCCCATCATCTCCTCTGAGTGGAATGACAAGCCCCTCGGGGCTGAGCTCCTCACCAGGTCTTGGCAGCCATGTGGCTGAGAAACGGGAGCAGAGCTGCCCATCGGCGGTTGGTTGGGGTTGGGGTTGGGGGGGTGTTGCAGAGCCTTCCACATGGGTGAGATCTGGAGTCTGAGTCCCAGCCCCAGCACTTAGGACCTGGGACAGGGCCTTGTGCTCTCAGGGTGACTGACCCACACTCATGGGTGGTTGGCAAGAAGCCCTGGTGACAACCGATGAGTGCTCAGCCACTAGCTGAAGAGTCGGTGGTTCCGGCTTGTCCGTCCGTCCGTGGGAGAAAAGATTTGGTGGTCTATTTCCCACCAAGAGAACAGCCCAGGAAACCGTGAGGGGCCATGGGGAGCTGCTGGGCTCCCCATGGTGACCACTTCCTCCACAAGAAGTAGCTGTGGCTTTACCCCAGCAGGGCCTGGGCTAAAGTCAGAGTCCAAGAGGTGCTCTGCACTGTGGAACAGATGGCTGTGGCTCGCTGGCCCTGTGGCTTGGCTCCGGCTGCCACCTGGTGGAAACAGCCCTGAAGTTCAAGGCAGCTATGGGGAGGTAGAGGGGAAACTTCAGTTGCCCAGGGTGGCCTGCTCTGCAAGGTCCCTGGTGAAGGCAAAGTCTTCGAAAAGAGAAGTACAGCACAAATAACCCCACGGGTAAAAGCAGCTTTGTTTGCTTAGAAAGTTCTAGGAAGATGGCCCAGGCCCACAAGCCAAAGCCACAAAGAGGGAGCCTCCCTTCTCCTCTCGCAGATCTGAGCAATTCTGGGCAAACCCAGCAGGCCAGAGAATGGTTACCAGCACTGCATATTTAGGGATGCTTCCCTAAAACCTCCATGGGGTGAGGCCGGGGCCAGAGGACACCCCAGGAACATGGGACTAAGGAACCCAGGACTGGGTTCTGGTCCCAGGAGAACATAGCGGAGCCTCTACTTCACCTGTGATGCGGCTGCCCCCCTGACTGCAGAACCCTGTTCCCGCAGTCACTCCAAAGTGGGAGGTAGTGGAGGCTGGGCTGGAGTTATGGAAGGTGTTAGGGGGAGGGACAGGTTCAGACTCGTGGCTTTAGTTCCCTCTGTGGCCAGAGGGGGCCACAGACAGGCTGGAGGCACAGGTGGGGAGTTCATGGGGGAAGCTGGGATGCGTTCGCTGAGACTGAGCTTAAGTGGAGGTGGAGATAGGAGTGCCCACAGGGCATGGTTTCCCTGCCATCCTGGTCACAGATGATGGGACATGCTCCCAGCCATGAACCCCGACTCCTCCCAGGGCTCTGTTGCTTGTTTGGGGTATCATGTATTTTCCCCAAATTCAGGGACAGGAATTAAAGGTCCTGAGAGCAGCACCCCCTCTGCTAGTCCCAGTCCTAGAGCAGCAACACCCCGTGGCCTGGCCACAGCTCGCCCAGTCACACCAGGATGGGTGTCAGCACAACGGGCAGTGACTTCCAGGGCCTTTGAGAAGTCTGAGCTCCATCCAAGGCCACAGATGGGCGCTGGGGACATGCCCACAGGGTTGCTGCCCAGTAGAAAGGCACCTACTCATAGTCGGAGCTGGGAAGCAGTGCAGGTCTGTATCTCCCCCTACGAACAGTTGATGCTTGGGTGTCTGGAAGTCTGGAATGAATGAGGAGGTAGGGGTTACAGCCTCCGACCTGGCCTCACTCCTCAACTGTCAAGTCTGACCCGTCAAGTCAAAAGGACAGGATGGGGTTCACACAGGTGCCACTCCTACCTAATGGGGCATTTTATGATCCAAGCATCTTTGTCCCTGTCACCCCTCAAAAAGACATTAAGTATTTCCCACCTCAGACACTGCTCTCTAGCTTCAACAGAGAAGACGCTGTCGTCATCATCCTCCCCGGAGAGCCCTACTCCCAGCGCTCTTGTCACGTTCACAGCCTTGACTGCCACCTTCAGTCAAAGCCATCAATGTAGCATCTGCCTCTCCAGTTCCCATGTCAGCTCCACGAGGACAGTACCTGGGCACACCTGGTGGATATCTGTAGGGTGGAAAGAAGGATGAATAATAGATGGAAGGATGGTGGCTGGATGGCTGGATGGATAGAAAAAAAGAATTCTCTTTTGGTGTCTTAGTTTTTAGGCTTGTTACTGGGGGCCCTGAACATCGCATTGTAGAGACCGCATCAGTTCTAGTGTCTTAGATACAGCGCTCGCTCTCTTCAGCTATGAAAGCAGACTAATTTATCACCCTATTTTTAAATATGTAGGAATTCAGACCCACAGATTAGGCCCAAAAAAAAGGGTAAGAAATGTTTGGAAAAGAGTTGGGCATGAAGGTACTTCCAAGGGAAGCTGTTTATGGCCTCATGGTGGCTAGTGAGTACCCACTGAGCTGCCAATCGTAACATCAGTGGTTCAGACCCACCAATCACTTGGCAACCTTTAGAAGATGAAAGGTTTGGAAACCCAAGGGCATTTCTTCTCTGTCCTATACAGTCCCTATGAATTAAGAGTCGAGATGGCAACAGTGGGTTTTCCTTTTGGTATGGGAGGCTGTGCAAGTTGGATTTTGCAAAGCCAGAACACAGTGTGGTGGGTGGGTGGGGGGGAGGGGATTGAAAGGGCACCTTTATGGGAGATGTGATGGCAATTTAGAGTGTTGAAAATGTAAGCATTCATGGCAGGTCTCCTAAATATCTTGAAGATCTACAATTTGCTTCAAGTTTTATATTAAATGTTTCAGCGGACTCCAACCTTTCTAAGAAAAATTCTAACTTTTTAAAGTTTCAGGGCATAAGGAGAAGTTCTGTCATTTTATAACACGACCGGCACATTGTAATTTTAATAAAGGCATTTGAACTCCAGCAAACCCATTTGAGGTTTCAGAACATTGGAATCTCTATTTCATGTACCAGACTCACTGCCACTTAGTCTGCTGGGACTCCCAGGGACTCTCGAGGGCAGAGTGCAACTTCTCCTGTGGATTTCCTTAGGGGGGCAGAAAGTCTCCTCTTTCTCTCGCAGAGCCGCTGGTGGCCTCGAACACGTAACCCACTCGTTACACCATCAGTGCTCCTTACTTCTTCACCCCCTTTTTAAGGTAATAGATTGAAATGACCTGCTATTCAGTTCCTAATAAAGGTGAAGTGATACTGGTGGAAATTTCAAGTTCCTATAATTTGTACTGTTCAAATCTATCATTGGATCAAAGGACACTGTGTGCAGTATAACGACCTAAATATCTAGTGCGACACAAAACTACCTTAAATAAAGCCCGCATGCACTTCCTCTATCTCAGGCTCGCTAACACTACATTGAAACATCCTGAGTCTTTACATGGACGATCCAGAGTAAAGAGTGGTAGATGGCTGATGGGGGAAAACGTGCATTTGGGGAGCCAGCAGGTCAACTATACCGTCTTATATTTGAGACACCAAAGTGTGTGAGAGCCAGTGTTGGCAGGTGGAAGTGTAGACAGTTGGGTGGGTTGCAGGAAGGCTCGTAAAAGTAGGTCCGCGGATGAGTGAGTGGTGTGCGTGAAAGCAGGAAGCCCTTCCCCTGCAGCATCACTGGCATCTGCCTGTGCACGGCAGGTGTGTAAGCCCCGCCCCCTGGCTGTCAGCCCTCTCTGGGCTCCAACAGCTTAATACTGCCAAAGTCTTCTAGGGGGCAAAGCTGCCCCATTTGAGAACTGCTGATGAAAATGATTGTTACAATCCCCACCACCCGCTCCCCATGGCCCTCCCCCCGTTTAGGACAGCCACGGCGAGACACCACAAGCTTTGCTGCTGTCTTTTGTTTCACCACATTATTTATATCCGACGGGAAACTTGGCCCCCTGCCCCACTGGGGGCCCTGACAGGGCACAGGCCCGAGTCCAGAGCTGAGCCGGGTCGAGGGCTGAGTGGTGTGTCACACATTCAGTAGGAGGGGCCGGTGCTCCTCTTCTGCAGACTCCCCCGGTGGGATTTCGTAAATGACAAACAGGGAGGAGTAGAGGCAGCCCAGGAAGGACACGAGGCTGGAGAAGTACATCACACCGTTGGCGCTGCCCACCGCCGAGGTCAGGGGCCCCAGGACCAGAGAGACCAGAATCTGGGCCAGGAAGTACTGGCAGCTCAGCAGGGAGATGTCCACGCCCATGCCCCGCTTGGTGCCGTCGGCACTAGACCCTGCAAACTGAGTCACAAGAGACAGTCAGCCGACCTCTGGGCCGCACTGGACCCGCTGCGCTGTGCCAGGCCCGCCTCCCACGCACGGGGGGTGGGGGGCTCTGCATTTTTCAAGCTGGTGCGCACAGGGAGTTCAGCTAAGAGTTTAATAATATTTGTGTTGAGGGGATGACGACCATCAAAAGAATCCATGACTAATGGGGCGGGAGGCAGGATCTGGCAGGAAGGAGGCCGCTAGACGCC